ATTTTTTAGCGCTATAATTTGTTTCCTTACTAAAACAGGAACCGTAGTAGTGTTCTGTAGCAAAGCATACACTGATCTCATACAAACACGTAAAAGAAAAACACCTCAGAAGTAGTATATAGCAGCAGAAACTGATTGTGTTTTCTTGTGTTGCACTGTAATCTGTAAAAAAAAAATAGAAGTCAGTCTAATTTCCAACACGTGGCTTACATGTGGCTTACCTGCAACCTCGGTCTCCAATGTGAGCAAAGGAACCCTGCTGGGCAAACTGAGTGGGATTATAGTTATTGTTGAACATGGTGTTTACAGAGGCAGGGTAGCTATGGTGCAAACGAGAGGCAATGTATAGAGAAAGTAGGCCAAGCAGGTGTTTTTGAACAGCTTAACCCAGCACAGAGTTCAAAGACTATTGTAGTCACCCTAGCATGGTGGTAGTGGGACACATTCGAAACTGGTTATCAACATTAACATGAAAATGCACACTAATATTTTCTTCATACATCTAACCCCAATTTGTTGCATTCAGTGATAAAAATTGTTCTCTTTGCATCTCCTCTGTTCCCTTTCTCCCGTAAGAATGAAAAACAAGTGTAGCTAGCTATATTCTGTCAAAAGAACATACATTTCTGAATCACCAGATTTAGCAGACTGAAGTATTTTTACCTTAAGTCTGCTCTTTTCTGCTTGCAATTGTATGGTAGGTGATGGTGTACACTAGATTGAAAAGGGGGCTACAACCTGCTGCTGATGCCAATAATCAGAACAGGAAATGTGTGGCAGCTTCAGTAGGTAGTGGCAGTTGATCAACAAGTCCGCTAAGAAGATAAGAACATGCAGTAATACGCGTTTTATGAAATCCTTCAAAGTAAATTGTAAAGTACTGATGTTTTTATACATGTTCTTATGTAGCTACACTAGCATACCATGCATGTGTCACAACTACTCCTACTCATGAGTTTGCATAGCAGTTTCCTCTTTTATTCAGTGTTTGTCAGGGCTCTCCTCTGCACTTTGTGTGAATATCTGTAGGAGTTTTAGTAACCAGTGCCTATAGGGGAAATGTCTGGGATTTTAGCGGTATTTGTTTCCTTACTAATTGGACAAGTGTTTCACTACCACAGACTGTACTGGAGGACTGGTAGTAGCAGCTGCAGATCAACAAGCCTGCTGTGTTGAAAAAGAGGATAAGAACACGCAGTAATACTCTGTTATATGAAATTGTTCAAAGTTGGTAAAGTACTGATGTTTTTATGCACGTTCTTATATAGTAGCTACACTACCATACCATGCCTGTGTAAACACATGTTTAAAATCACAACTACTCCACTCGTGAGTGTGCATAGCAGTTTCCTCTTTATTCAGTGTTTGTCAGGGCTCTCCTATGCACTTTGTGTGCATTTCTGTAGCAGTTTTAGTAACCAGTACCTATAGGGGAAATGTCTGGGATTTTAGCGATATTTGTTTCCTTACTAATTGGACAAGGCTTTTCTCAGTGTTTCACTACCACAGACTGTACTGGAAGATTGGTAGTAGCAGCTGCAGATCAACGAGCCTGTTGTGTGGGAACAGACGATGGACTTTCTTTCAATAATGGCGACCACCTGTACTCTCTGTGTAGTAGCTCATTGTAGCATATAGACTTAGTCCTGGGGCATCACATGGCTTGTCACATACAGTGCATGGGTTCCTTCATACTGAGTATGATGTGGAAGAGAACGAGAGACTGGACACAAGGTTTCAACTCAATGTAAAGGGAACATTTGCTGGTGATCTTGTCACTGGTCTCATTACAGCTGCAGCAGAGGCACTGCAAGAAGCATCACGTGTATTAGTTAAGCTTTACCTACACATGTTATTTAAACAACTGCAGGACACCTCAGACTTCGAAAGCCTGCAACCAATCAGCAGTATTAACAAACAGTGCAGAGATCCGTTTGTTGCGTTCAGATGAGATCACTCTAGAGTATGATGACCGAGTGCTACTGAGGTTCACTCTGATATTCCTGATCTTATCTTGGTCTAGAGGCTAATGGGAGAGTATATCAGAGACACTGCAACGGTCAATATGTTGTGATGATTGTAAGTGTTCTCCCATGATCGGGTGCTGTTTTTAATTAATCTGGTCATTGTCTGTTTGTAGTTTGGAGATTAATTCGTAGAATTCTGACTATTCTTTTGGTGAGTGGGGGGTTCGAAGGCTGCCACAAATTACACTTCCATCACGGCAAATCAGAACACGGCTTTAATATAACTTGCTTAGTCCTGTTACTGTGGACACAGCTGAGTCTATGGTTTGGGGATCTTTCCTTAATTCTGCTACCATTGACGAAGGAAAGACTAGAGCTACAGCAGGTATCTATTCTTTAACCGACGAAATATGGCAACAATAATAAATGTGCCGAATGAAACCTGAATAACATGACACGCAATTGCGTGTGTCTACACAAGTTGTATATACTAGTTTCCATCAAAACTCATTGGCCCTTTCTGTCAACGTAGGCACATAGCTATATACCTGTTGCTTAGCCTCAAGCCGTTCCCGCAGCTATGGTCACAAATGTATGTTTCGTGCATGCACGCAACACTATATTCTCAAAGAACCTAAGCTTGACTGTTCATAAGATGTGAGTACTGATGGATCTTGATCGCTTGTTCTCTCGTCTCATTTCCCTCGCCCGATATATCATCAGTTACTGATTTCAGTGATGCCAGCAATCACAGTGAAGTCGCAGACTAATGGTGGTCGAGATATCACAATATCAGAGTTCTTCTTCAGCGATTGTGATGACGACCGTAGATGAGGACGTTGCAGAGTTTTGCAATAGTCGCTGAGATAGGAGGACCTGATGTTCCTGAGAATATCAGCTTGTTTCAGCGGTATGTTGGGCGATGCAGAGTGTCATGGACGACGAGGAGTCTACTGCACGATTAGAATTATTGACAATGACGTAGAGCTGAGCTGTTAGCTTATGGGATGGTCATGCATACTTATGGGTCACTGTGGGTTTCATCCATGAGCTGTTTAGTTATGGGTTGTATGCTGTTTTAGCGCTTTACCCTCGGCGCGCATGCGCAGCGAGGGTTACGGTTCGTAAGTGTGTCTGCCTTTTGCCATGTTTTCTGCCACCACGCGCAAGAAATCTGAGGAGAAGAGAGCGATAGTAACGGTTCATCAGTGTTACACTGGCTTGATTATTAAAAAGTGCTGATTTTCACTATAGCTGCGTTCGAAAGCTTTAGCGTGAAAAAGCAAGTGAAGTGAACAAGCCAATATGCAAATTAGCACAGTCTTGCCTCGACCAGGTCCGCTTGCTCTGTGTATATACCTTGGAGGCACAAGAAGTCACAACGAAGGCATGTACTCCCGATGCTATCTACTACTTGAGCAGGCCCGTGTCAGGCTCTCGCGACCTCACATCCAACGATAAAATCGTCTTTCAGACGTCCTGTCCCACCGTCCTTTTCTTTACCGCCTCTTATTCAATCCTCTACTGAAGCTGATGCCTCTTCCTCTTTCTCATATTCCCTGACCCATCATGTGCAGCTCCCCCCCCAGTCTACCCCCTCTCCCTTCACTCCTCACCTCCATCTCCCAAGCCCCTCCTCTCATCAATCCTTAAAACACCCCTCTGTGCTTCCCGCAAAATCCGCTTCACCCTCTACCCCTCAACCCCATCATACATCACCGTCCCCTAGACTTCGATTTTATTCCTATGCGCATCCGACCACTTGATCCTCCCTCCCCACCCTCCCCCCTATAGCCGATGCCATTTTCAGCTCCTAGTACCCAGCTCCTCCATCCGCTCCTCACAAGCGCTTCCCCTGTCAATTTCCAGGACTTCCTCGACTTTCCTGTGCCAGACCAATATCCCTAAGAGCGCCATTACCCCTCTCCAGCTTTGCTCCGTACGGCCCATGTCGATTCCCCGACACTCGCCACCTGCCCTGTCTTCCCTCCTTATATCTCCCCCTCCGGTCATCTCTCCTTTAGTTCCATCCGTCCTTCCCCCCCCTTGATTAGTCATCTACCTGTCCCCATCACCACTTGTTAATCTACCCCCTCACTCTCACCATTCTGCCTATGCCTTCTCGCACCCAGCCCTCCTATCCCTTTATCTACTCCGCCATCATCCACTATAATGTCAATGCCCTTCTCCTTTACCCTTCCTATCTCCTATCCCCCTTTCAAATCCCCCCTTTTTCCCCTCGACCGCCTACTAGCGGGAGACGACCACCCAGGCATCAACTAGCGGTTATTAATACGTGCATTGACAGTTCGCCGAGTTGATTTACTTTAATTAACCCCGGCGCGCATGCGCAGCGAGGGTTGTTACTGTACTTGGTCTGTCGGTCTGTCTGTCTGTTAGTCCACGCGAGTTCTCGCACTACAGGCTACGAGGCGGCCAGTGGGCACCAAGGGTTTGTGAAACAACGAGAATGGATATTAAAGTGGCAATTTTCCTGAAACGACCTGGACAGTTCCAGAGCTATGGCGTGAAAAAAGCGTACGCGAGCGATCCATGGCGCACGCGCGTATGTTGGTGTATACCGTTTGCCGGCGATCCATCGCGCAGGCGCGTATGTTTCCGTTTGCCGGAGCATGCGCATCTGCGAGATGCCACGCGCCACGTAGTTGACACAAGAACTCTCATTTCTACGTTGAAGGATCCCTCTGAGCTTTATTATCAAAGCAACGAGACACTCCATCCCGTTCATGTTCATGCACAAAATGCTCCTCTCATAGCTGAAACTGTGTTACTGCATATATACTTGCAACAACATGACATTTGGTTACTCTGATAAGCACTAATGAAGATACCCTTCATCCAATTTGTTCATCTTATATTCAATTTTGTAGTAACAGTGGAACCTCATTAATACGAACACTGTTAAGCGAAATAACTGTTCCATTTTGAAATAGCCCACCTAGCTTACAAAACCACAAAACGTGCCGCATTTGAGCCGAGGGTTTGCACTTTAGTGCTTTTCATTTTTTGCAGATATGATCATTGGATTCACTGAGAGAATTCGGACTGTATCAGAAGGTGAAATACCTGGGGTAGACTCGTTCCTGCTTGAAATAAATGTAACCAGTGCAATAACTACTGAGAAGGACCGTCCAATGGTATTCCGACTTCTAGAATCCATATCAAATGCCACAGTTGAGACACTAATACCATCTAGTCCAGTCTTTGATGCCACATTTGGTCACAGAGAAAACCCCGATGACCCAATTGAGGAGTTCAGGGACCTAGCACCAGGATTGCAGACAGTGCTACCTCCACTGCTAACAGCTATTAGAAATGACTTGATTCCTGAAGACCTAGAATGTTTTACTATACATATTACCCCTGTTGATGTCATTGGTGACCACGTGCTGTTTGGGTGCAATTATGATTATGATGGAGTAGTTGCAGACAATTATTTCTGTGAACACACCATCTGCATAGAAGATGATGATGGTGAGTCATTAACCCTCGGCGCGCATGCGCAGCGAGGGTTACTGTAGTTGGTGTGTGTGTCTGTCTGTCTGTCCACGACTATTCTCGCACTACAGGCTACGAGGCGGCCTAACAGCGATACCAAATGCTTCAGTGCTACATGCGCATGAAAATCAAAATGGCGATTTTTCTGAAACGACAGCGTTCGAGCGCGAGAAACTGGCACAGTCCCAGACCCACGTAGCGTGTCCCAACCCATTCATTAGTGGCGCGCATGCGTATTGATTATTGGCATGTGATAATCACTGGGCTCACTCCTGTGTACCTTGGGGGCTCAGGAAGTCACAACGAATGGCATGTATCGACTCCCGCATGCTATCTACTACTGTAGCCCGTGTCAGACTCTCCGCGAGCTACTAGCGGGAGACCACGAGTAAACGCATACCAATAGCCCAGCCAATCAATGCCCATGCGCAGTTCGCCGAGGGTTTGCACTTCAGTGCAATTTTGTCATTACTAATTATTGTCATGTTAATTCTTGAATTAATTGCTGTAGAGCCATTCGTTGTGGCATTTGTGGAGACAATATACACTGTTGATGAGAGTGTGGGTGCTGTGAGTGTGTGTGTCAATCTCACTCAACCTGAGCTTGACATTGTTGACGAGACTGTCAATGTGTTTGTCATTGATGACTCCAGTTCAGTTTACATCCCAGCTGGTGCTCCACTGGCAAGTAAGCCATCAGAATGCATAGCTGTGTGATAGCAATGTTACTATCATTCCCAGCCCCTGATCCTCCTGACTTTCTCAGTCGGTATCACATGATCGAAGGCTCAGACTATACTCAGCAAACTCTGTTTACAATGCCATTGATGATAGCTCGATAAGTGAAGAACAGAGGATAGTGTGTTATAATCAGACCATTTTTAATGACCAGCGTGTGGAGTTGGATGAATATGCAGGTCTCACCCTTGGAGTTAGACCTGCCACAATTCGAACAGAGGTCGAGCCAATGAGGGCTGATGCCTCGATCCTAATCCTGGACAATGACAGTAAGCGACTCACCACACCTACACAGAATTCTTGATGCCTTTCTTTTCCAATCCAGGAGCACTAGTTGGCCTAGAAAACACATCATACACAGTTTTAGAAGATGCTGGTGCAGTTGAAATATGTGCTGTTATTTCATTCCCTGAAATAACATGTCCTGTTTCATACCATTTTGAGGTTGTGATTCGGACCATTTCCGGAACTGCAGGTATAGATTCCGTTTAAACCAATTATTATAATAATGTCACATTTCTTCTTATTTTATTCCCAGTTGATACCATAGATTATACAGCAGTTAATGCCTCGTTCTCCTTTGAAGCCTGTCAGACTAAAAGTTGTGTCAACGTGACCATAACAGACGACAATGTGAATGAGGTGGTGGAATTTTTTTTTACTCTGGCAAGAACAGCTGGTCTGAATGCCAGAATCGATTTGTACCCAGAAAATGGAAGGGTATGTATAGTGGACAATGAACATCAGATGACTGGTAAATAATGTCCCTAGATTATTACATTATTATAAAGCCTCAAAATTAAGATTATTAATATTTCAGGTCTCATGTGCAGTTCTAGTGGAAATTCCGAAGTAACAATTGAATGCAGTGGCATGGAAACGCAAGTTCCCCTGCAGTGTTCCTTTGATGCTGGGCCATTACACCAGTGTAAGTTGTAAGCTACGGTATTATAATATGGTAATTATGCATGTAAAATGGTGTTGAACTATCTTGTAAAAAAGCAGATCCTCTCACACGTATAATAGGTACTGTACCAATGATACTTACTGGCAGTGTCAGTCCTCCTGGTAACCATTCTGTGAGGATTGTGGCCAGTACAGGAGGAGAGAGCACCGTACCATATTACATCACTGATGAAGCAATGAGTAACGGTGAGTCTCTTTCTAAACTTGATGCGAATTACAGTGTGTACCAATAGCTATGTGACGAGATGGATTAAGTTTATAGATAGTAAGAGCAGAGCCTTTTGATTATGTTTCCTAATAGTAGATAGTAAGAGCAGAGCCTTTGGATTTGATAGTAGATACAGCAGAGACCCATGTGCACTCTTCTAGCTATATATCAATTTTCAGTTGCAGCAAAAGTTCCTCCGTTGGAGGTCATTCTAAGCAGTGGATCTCCTCGTGTGACTGAGAGCTCTATTGAAGTTGAGTTTGACACCACAAGACCAGTGACAAGAGTGACATGTTTCCTCAGATATGACAACAAGAGTGACTACCAGGACTGTATGTTATTGCTGTATAGCTATACCTCTAACTTTCAGCATGTGTTGCAAATATTAACCAACAGGCACTGCTGGAAGTGTCACTTTTTCTGATCTGAAGTCTGGACGCTATGTTCTCAAGATCTATGCCCGCAACAAGCAAACTGACTTTGCAACCACTAAAATGGTAGTTATGGTTTGAACAAGAAATGTAGAATTTGAATGATAATTATAATGAAGTTTGTGTGATATCATTGGTCAAGGGTAGCGAAAGGGGAAGACGACGCTAGAAATCACACTGCTTTAGGAGCTCTTTGCTCATTACACAATGATGCAGTTTTCCCCCACCCACCATCTTTCGCGCAACGCACCCACGACACAGCCGCGTGTGACCGCGACGGTATAGGTTCCCATCGTGCGCCGCGGTTGGCGCTATGCAGCTGGGCTCACGAGTCACGACGGACAACACCTTGTCATCATGTTACTGCATTATTATACAGTTCATGGAGTGGTGAGTAAGAAACTCTTTTCACTCTTCTCTTGCTGGGGATGGTCCTTGGAATTGCAGAACCTGTAGACGAGGTACATAAGGGCGGCTCCCAAAATTATCATTAGAAATAGCAGTCCAATGTAGAGTCCGAAAACCCTTGCAGCCTGACCTACGTAGGACAAGAGAAATATGCGGGGTGTCAACGTGAGGCAAGTGAAAATTTAATGAACTGCGAAAAAAAACCTGAGACTGAACATCTAGGATCTAGCTAGCTATAATATACCAGAGAAAAAACTAATAGCTACGTACTGCAGTCCTGTTCATCACTTCCATCTTTGCAGTCCTTGACTCCGTCGCATACCTCGCTGGCTCTGACACACTCCTTCTCATCCAGGCAGAGATACTGACCATATACACAGTCTGAAATAAATTAGAAATAGCTACTAGTCTTCGTAACAAAAATGTGTAAGTAGAACTTTCTTGTGCATGGAAGTCTGGTGTTCGGCATAACCAAAGTCCAGATATCACGATTTTTAAATGTCACAAATGCAATCTTATAGCTAGTATATATGCTAACATATAGCTATATTATAGTGATGATAGCTAAATAGGGTCAACTACCGTCTGTATCAGACCAATTACTTACTTACCAGTAGCTGTACTTTCATTCAGGTATTCAGCAGAATGACAGCCCAAAGAATGTACGCATACATCTTCCTTAGAAAGGCATTTCTGTTCCAGAAAACTGCAAAAGCTCAGGCAGACAAAAAATGTTTTATGTCTTGTATATACGCTCCACAAAGCATGTCTCCAAATGAAAGATTACATAAAATTATGCTCAGCAGAAGAAGGTTGTGTAACGCAATGACATCGGGGCGAGGCTATAACAAGCGCATTACCTGTCCCACGCGCTTGATAATGAAGATGAGCTAAGCGTTGTGCCACCCCCGTGTTGTGATCACAGACTCGCTAAATAAATCCTGGTGGCGCAATGCGTATTGCATAATAATAATTATATCGACGAAAATGTTAGGGTTTGGTGAGTAAATGACAACGTTCATTTGGCTCTTCATATATTGAGTGAGACCATCTTCTTCTGTTACAAAGAAATTTAGCAAGAATCCCCAACAGCAGTAGTAGAAGCAGAGCTCCGATGAACAATCCGACAACGAGAATAATGTTGGCTGCAGAATGGCAGGAATAGAGGCATCACAGGAAAGTGTATATACTTAGCGGATCATATCAGAACAACTTAGCTATACAACAGACGCGCACATTACACGTGTCCCACTCCCACAAAATCGTTAGCTCTCGATCTCCGCACTGGCATACGTGACGTCAGTTTCGTGTTCGTGATTTTGGCCCTAGAGCTAACCAAAAGCTGCAGCTTCGTGTAGGAGGGTCATTTTCCCCGATGACGTATTTGTTTTCTCCTATCCTTCGCACAAATGAACTGCTAACCGTTCTCTAGCAGGCCTTATCAAGCCCGAGAGACTGAGTCGCTATGCAAGCATGGCATGCAGTATAATTACATAGCATGATTGGGAATAATTTGATGTTGTAACATAGCTCTGCATGGACGTGCAGCAGTATGCTTTTGATTGTCTTGCTAATTGTCTGGCGAAGGGCCTGGGTCAAGAGGTTGTCGCCTTACGTAATCAGTCTGCTGTAGCCAAGCATGGCAATAGACGCACGGAAGTCGCCTACAACTATGTTGTTGCATCCACCCACTTACAGTCAACAGCGCATACCTAGATACCAACCTGCAGATAAACCTTTGCTTTGTCAAATTTGCTTGATTTGAAGTTTTGCTTGAAAATGCTTCGTGAGTCCATTCAAAATGTATGGGCAAGATGGACCCCACGTTGTCACAAAAAAGATGGGATTTGGTGATTTTCCGGTGGCAAAAAGCTAGATGGTCTAACGCTGTTCAGTGTCGTCGCACAATTTTATGGAGGAGACACATTCACGTACTGCTAAGCCGCAGAGCTCCGGCCGTGTGTGCCTTTGGGTTTCTTTGCGCATGCGCTGATTAGCTCAACTAGCGTACACACCCCCCCGGCCCCAGAGTGTGTCAGTCGCTGATGCTGATCAACCGGTTTCAAGGCTACTGATCAAGAAACTGAATGTAGAGGAGCACAGTTGTGTAAAATGAGTGAAAGTAAGAGTTTTAGTGTACTTACCTGCGCGTTTCATTGGGATTCAGCGCGCGTGCAATATTATAGGGCGTGGTTTTGTTTAGCCATCGTTTGCTGGCCACTCGTATCACCCTAATAAAGGAGCAGTTCCACCATTCGGCAGTGGTCAGGTTACTCCTCAACCTGTGGTAAATGGTGGATTGGTAGAGTCAGTGTGTAAACCTCTTTCACACCCTCCCTTTTCCACACTCTCATGGGGGAAGATGTATGTGTGTCATGTACCTATACGTATACCTATCAAAGCCATTTCTCTCTTCTCACACTGTATATACCTTGGTGCACATGTTCTCAAGATGCATTGTAGTGCTCCTTCGAATAGTAGATACATGTAGTGTAAACTACTGAACTGGTATATACAAACTCTGATACCCACCACCTAAAAGACATTTGACTGTGCAACTTTTCTCTGTCCGGCCTCCCACAGGAGGCAGCCTCAACATGAAGAACCTAACTCGGGCCATACAGGAGTTGGTTCAGTGGCATCTGTGGGAGTGGCCCTGGAAATACCCCACCACAAGTTGGACGCCATCAACATTAGCCAACACAGCATCCCGCTGTGCAAGGTAATCATCGTGTGTTTGTTTTTCAGTGTGTCACAAAACTCGTATTGTGTATAACATCTACGGATTTCTAAGAGCCACACATCTGTGCATAAGTGAAGCTTACACTTTTGCTGTCTGTAATCTGAGTTGCAGAAGTGGCAATAATGTGTGGTGTCAACCACGATGTCTGGCAGAGTAGTTGTGGGAGATGGTTGATGGCTCTATGCATATCCGTGTGATAATCATGTGACCAACTCTGTGTACATTTTCGGACAGATAGCGCTCATTGATGTGTGGTTGAGAACAGACCTGGCCGCATCGTGGGGCAAGCTGGTCCTGGCTCTGGAAGAGGCCGGGGAGACGATAATCGCGGGAAGGATAAAGCAGGAGTGGCTCGGGATACTTGCCTCTGCTCCTGTCCCTCAATCCGCCCTCGTCCCTCCCAGAATTGGAAGTGAGTGTACTGCCAATAACACACTATGTCATAGCCCCATACATAATGTGTACGTACAAGACTACATATACTTTGAAAATGATTTTTAAACATGTACATGTGTAATTATAGGTACTCTGGGGCCACGTGGTATGCCAGGACTGACGTCTCCGTTACAGCCAGTACAATCAGTGGTTGGCCAGCAGTTTCAACCAGTGACTCATCATCATCAACAACATCAGCCGCACAATTATCAAGGGGGTGTGGCCAATCGCTATGGAGTTTTAGGGAACCACCACGGAAACGGATTCATTGCTACGGATGGTCCGGTTCAGAGGCCAGCTATGCAGGTATGTCCCTGTCATTATGAGGTCAAACTAGATAATATTACTGACCAAAATGACCAATTATGCATTACAATAGAACTTCCGAACAAGGGGCACTATGGGGCCAATGTTTTTCCTTTGTAGAGAGATCGTCCCTATCTCAGAGGTCAAATAATACACTAAAGTATTAGCATGGGGTTGGAACAAGTGTCCCTTGTAGAGAGGTCGTCCCTATCTCAGAGGTCAAATAATACACTAAAGTATTAGCGTGGGGTTGAAACAAGTGTCTTTTGTAGAGAGGTTGTCCCTATCTCAGAGGTCAAATACGTAATACACTAAAGTATTAGCATGGGGTTGAAACAAGTGTCCCTTGTAGAGACGTCATCCCTATCTCAGAGGTCAAATAATACACTAAAGTATTAGCGTGGGGTTGAAACAAGTGTCCCTTGTAGAGAGGTCGTCCCTATCTCTGAGGTCAAATAATACACTAAAGTATTAGCATGGGGTTGAAACAAGTGTCCTTTTGTAGAGAGGTCGTCCCTATCTCAGAGGTCAAATAATACACTAAAGTATTAGCATGGGGTTGAAACAAGTGTCCCTTGTAGAGAGGTCGTCCCTATCTCAGAGGTCAAATAATACACTAAAGTATTAGCATGGGGTTGAAACAAGTGTCCTTGTAGAGAGGTCGTCCCTATCTCTGAGGTCAAATAATACACTAAAGTATTAGCATGGGGTTGAAACAAGTGTCTTTTGTAGAGAGGTTGTCCCTATCTCAGAGGTCAAAAGTAATACACTAAAGTATTAGCATGGGGTTGAAACAAGTGTCCCTTGTAGAGAGTCGTCCCTATCTCGAGGTCAAATAATACACTAAAGTATTAGCATGGGGTTGAAACAAGTGTCCCTTGTAGAGAGGTCGTCCCTATCTCTGAGGTCAAATAATACACTAAAGTATTAGCATGGGGTTGAAACAAGTGTCTTTTGTAGAGAGGTTGTCCCTATCTCAGAGGTCAAATACGTAATACACTAAAGTATTAGCATGGGGTTGAAACAAGTGTCCCTTGTAGAGACGTCATCCCTATCTCTGAGGTCAAATAATACACTAAAGTATTAGCATGGGGTTGAAACAAGTGTCCTTGTAGAGAGGTCGTCCCTATCTCAGAGGTCAAATAATACACTAAAGTATTAGCATGGGGTTGAAACAAGTGTCCCTTGTAGAGAGGTCGTCCCTATCTCAGAGGTCAAATAATACACTAAAGTATTAGCATGGGGTTGAAACAAGTGTCTTTTGTAGAGAGGTTGTCCCTATCTCAGAGGTCAAATACGTAATACACTAAAGTATTAGCATGGGGTTGAAACAAGTGTCTTTTGTAGAGAGGTTGTCCCTATCTCAGAGGTCAAATACGTAATACACTAAAGTATTAGCATGGGGTTGAAACAAGTGTCCCTTGTAGAGAAGTCGTCCCTATCTCAGAGGGTCCCTTATCGGAGGTTCTACTGCAATATTCTCCCCCCCAGCCCCCTGCTCCAGTGCCATCTTCGGCCCAGCCGCCAGTGTCCAACGTGACGGAGGCTCTCCAGCTACTGAACACGAGTCAAGATAGGCTCATCTCTGGCCTGACTCGCAGCCAACTGAACGTCAATTTCGCCGGCGGGGCCGCCCCTGGAATGACACTTCTTCATTACGCTGCCATGGTACTTATCACTTAACCAGCCATGGACACATACAGTGTCCAGAGCCTCCATTCCATAAGTCCATAAGAATTTATATTGGGGTTATAATACTAGGCGCTAATACTTTATACATACATCAATTACTGCTTAATTAAGCAGATACCCATGGTGTCCAAAGGGTGATGTATTTTGTGAGTGGAAATGGGGTGGTATGGAATTGAGGTAGTGCATAAAGGTGTAGTCTCGTTCCCAGCCCCCATTCGTCTTGTACACTGCAGTCTTATACTTTCGAGGCACCGAATCAGATTGCAGTATTTGCTACGAGTGTGAAATATCACACGATGTTATGCAATCATTTGTAAACCAGCTCCATGAAACGTGTCTCTCCTGCACACACCCACACACACACCCACACACACACACACACACACACACACACACACACCGCAGCAAGGAGCCAACACTGAGTGTCTGAAAGCTCTCATAGCCTTTGGAGCCGACGTCAACCCCCTCAACGGGCACGGTCTGACTCCTCTTGATCTGGCCATCATGTCACACCCTGCTGGTGAGAGACTGTGTAACACTAGAGGAATGCTTGGCAGTTCAATATTTCGCACGCGTTTTGGGAATCATGTAGAACAGTACGGTATGTGTGTGCCCGACAGAGCCATCACATATAAAAAAAAATATTCATTATGTATATAGAAAATTCCCGCATTGAAACGACAAGGTATAGGCGTGCTTTGTTCGCCGATTATTGAGACGACTACATTGTTGGCAAGTGCCTTATGTCAACAATAGTTATGTGTTACATTTCTTTCTCATTATCACGTGTGTCACAATTTGGGCGGCTTCCTGCATTATGCGTATATGTAGAGTGTGCACTATATAGAACGATCAAAAGCCACGCATTTTTTGGTGAACGAGTAGTGCAAGCAGTTGAATTTCGCTCATATTTAGAACGACGTTCAATTTTTCGTGTGTATTTGAGAATCTACGTAAAACATTACTGTATACTACATGTGCAGTGTCGGTCACAACCTACATACAAATAAAGGGAAATATACAGCATTCAGTGACTAGGTGTGCTAGCTTTGCTTCCCAATAATGTATATACCTGGTAATGTGTGCAGGAGGTGAGATGGTGAATTTACTGGAGGCAGTTGGGGCAGTAAAGGGAACAGACCTCACTCACGGGTGCCAGCCTGTGGGGGAAGCACACTCCATCGAACGAAACGGTATTCACTTTATTCTCATTTGGCCCATCTTTTGTTCTTTGCGTGTTCACAAAACGAACTTAGTACGCACTTGCGCGTGGAAATCTGTTTGCTGCGTAAATCTCGTGGTAACTCGCATCGTAAGTGCCCTCGGCGCTGTTTACCCGGGCAACCTGTGCACGCGTAAAAACAAGTCTGTGTGAATTGGAGTATGCACTATATTATAAGGCATCTCGTCCATGTATGTGGCAGTATGGGCTAAATCTGGAAAACTGTTACTGAAAATGGAAACTTAATTGCATTCTTGCACTGGGCCGTAACATTTCTAATTTTATCCCTTATGAACTGACACATTCCCTTTAAATGTACGCGTGTTAGAAGCCCTCCCCCCACCCCTCACCAGGCACCCACATCCTGAGTGTGCCCAGCAGTGGTCCGTACTGCATCGTACAGCTGCAGGTCCTCCAGCAAATCGAGGCCCAGTGTCGCCACAAGATCACCACCCTGTTCCAGTGGATCGTGGCCTGCGGATTTGGGGCTCTCTTCCTCCTCCTTGTTATCTACGGTATAATACATAGGGGAGCTACTATATACATGAACTAGCTTTGTACAGCTGTGCATAGGTTAACTATGTAGCTTTGCCTATGTACCAGTATATTGTAGTATGTAAGGTCATCTATGGTATAGGGTAGCAGCTTAGCCTGTATGTACAGCTACTGTATGTATGTGCAGCTACTGTATGTATGTGCAGCTACTGTATGTATGTACAGCTACTGTATGTATGTACAGCTACTGTATGTATGTGCAGCTACTGTATGTATGTGCAGCTACTGTATGTATGTGCAGCTACTGTATGGATCTGTATGGATGTGCAGCTACTGTATGTATGTACAGCTACTGTATGTATGTACAGCTACTGTATGTATGTACAGCTACTGTATGTACAGCTACTGTATGTATGTACAGCTACTGTATGTATGTACAGCTACTGTATGTATGTGCAGCTACTGTATGTATGTGCAGCTACTGTATGTATGTACAGCTACTGTATGTATGTACAGCTACTGTATGTATGTACAGCTACTGTATGTACAGCTACTGTATGTATGTGCAGCTACTGTATGTGTATGTGCAGCTACTGTATGTATGTACAGCTACTGTATGTATGTACAGCTACTGTATGTATGTGCAGCTACTGTATGTATGTGCAGCTACTGTATGTGTATGTACAGCTACTGTATGTATGTACAGCTACTGTATGTGTATGTACAGCTACTGTATGTATGTACAGCTACTGTATGTATGTACAGCTACTGTATGTATGTACAGCTACTGTATGTATGTACAGCTACTGTATGTATGTACAGCTACTGTATGTATGTACAGCTACTGTATGTATGTACAATACAAAGGGTTTGCATATACACTAGGTAACTGCCCAGGTACGTAGTATTAACAAAATGTATCCAACCCTGTAACTCTCCTACTTTCTTTAAGTTTCTCCTAAGTTCTTTTGCAGATCCAGTAACCGCCACGCAAACATTGTACAAGGTTACACAAACACATGTGCTAAAAACGAGTTTTGTGAGCGTTAGGTCAAAGCGAATATGCCAGTATAAGGTCACATGCTTTTTTATCATTATCGATGGAAATGACTCAAAGGCTTGGGCAATGGGAGAAGGGGGATGCCATCACATGCACTGGCCCCTGACATTACATCATGATATGTCAGATTTTTATCGTGTAAAAGGCTTAATTTTACACACACACACACACACACACACCACCGGCCAACCCAATTTCATATCAAGGCTCATTAGTTCAGAATGTGACTTTGCTGCTTTGCCAATTCACTGCTTATGTAGCTAGCTGCACAAAGTCTCGCTTTCTCTTTCCTTATCTCTCCCCCCCCTCCCTCCCCTCCCCACACTCTCTCCCTCCCTTCCTTCCCCTCCCCACACTCCCTCCCCACACTCCCTCCCTCCCTCCCTCCCCTCCCTCCATCTCCACAGGCAACAAGGCGGTGTCAGAGGTGAAGAGACTGTACTTCAAGCTGCGGGAGGAGGTGTTCAGCGAGCCAGACATGGCCCGGAGGTCCCAGGCTCTCGATGGCTTCCTCCAGGCCCACCTCGGGACCCAGATGAAGATGAGCGACTTACAGCAACCGAGGTCTGGCAATCCCAAAATACCGTTGTGTCACTATAATAGACTAGACGAGAATGCAAAACGCTAATTCGAGAGTAATCATAATCAGACGAGAATGCATATCATTTCTGGTGTGCTAATTTGAGAGTTACGTATATATACACATGATCCCCATTTTGAATAAAGGTGTGCGTAAAAAAGTGATGGTATGTACATTGCGACATGATGTAATTGATTAATCTGTGCCGTGTGGGCAGAAAGCAAATCTAATCTGGGTAAGCAGCAGGTTAGTCAACCCAGGATAAGTGCACACGTCAAAGTGTAAATATGAATAAAGTGTGAGTTGATGCGGTTGGATCGGTTTTCATATTTTTGCGCCATCCTTTAAACTCCCGTGAGTGACACTGCACTCAAATTGCGCATTCCTTAAGCTCGGCGGCTCAGATGGCAGGGTAGTTACAGTAACAACTTCTTGCATTATTCTGGTTGATGTGTACAGAGATGAGAGTCTCTTACAGCAGCTGCATCTCATAATCCCCGTGCCTCAGTTTGTCTTTGCTCGGTAATGATATTGATACTCTTTTAGTGGAGCACTCAGATCCAGCGTACAGGGTTATTGTGGACATGGCCATACATTATTGCTTAGATGCCATACTGACTTGTGATGCACTCTCATTGAAGGGTCCAGCATCAAGCATTAGGTACTGAGCACTATGAGGTCTTCCATATCCCAAAACCTCCGTTTTTGCTCGGTAGCTGTGTCAAAGGATCACTCTAATGATATATAGTCCTTTGAGCCAGCCACACTACTACATCATGTTAGAGATGCGGAAAATGTTTTTCTTCGTCTTATATAATGCAGCACGTGTGCTACACCTGCATTTTGCCATCACGTGGACGTAATTTGTCAATGATGATTTATTGCCATTATTAGAGCTGGTGGCACACAAACTGATTGCGAAGGTCACCGACTGCACACGCACACGTTGAAGTTCTTATGTCATCGTTACGCAACTACTTTGTTAAAGATTTGTGTATATATTTCATTTTCAGTGCTCTTGAGCCGATGTCAGCCACGCTTTATGCTTTTTGTAATCATCATTTCTTTGTCAATGTATATAAATGCGACTGTCTCCATGCAGGATATTGATCGGTGCTCTGTATAAGGGGTCAACCAAGGTGGAGATACGTCTCTTTAACAACTGCCTCAATGACGAATACTCCGACTGTAAGATTATAGCAATCTTCATTGTAGGAAGTTGAAACTGCAATGTACACAGTATCATGCAATAGTGTGGTGGTACGTACATGTATGCATCTATATTATATAATAGTTAGACGCTGATTCGAGGTAAATCTGATTGGTCAATTCGAACCTAGCTCACTCTAAACATGTATAGTGTTTTTATAGGTTGGCAAAGGGGGACTAGTTACTCATTTTGCTCTGGCTGGAAGTAGGAGTAGTAACTCTTTAACTTATGCCTCCCTTAAAAAAATTTATGACTTTTATAACTTTGGGCTACCTCTCCCTGTGCAGTTCCAGTGTGGAAAGTGGCTCGCTACACTTGCTCCCTGCCACTCAACGTCATGGAGTGCGATAACTACGTCAGCACCAACCCGGCGCTACCCAATCTCTCCAGCCTTGCCCTCCGGAGAATTCGACAGTTCTACTCAGACGCAGGAGAAGACCCAGGTCCCATTTCTCTCTCTCTCTCTCTCTCTCTCTCTTGTGTGTGTGTGTGTGTGTGTGTGTGTACGTGCGTACGTGTGTGTGTGTGTGTGTTTGTATGCACGTATGTGTGTGTTTGTGAATCATCAAAGTGATGTATGAAAAACATCTGCAAAGGACACTCGAAACAAACTCTTTTACATTATGGAAAAAAGAAAAAGAGCTGCTTTAAGACAGTGCTCTAACCACTGACCTCCATTCATAATGCCACACATACATAAATGCATACTTTTTGAAATCCTGGAAACAAAGGCGTACGTACGTACGTATGTTACGTTCTCCAAACATATATATTCTTACATGCACAAGTATCTGTCACGTGTATGTTAGTCCAATGGCTCACATCTGCACACATCAGATGTGGTGCGGAGTCTGGTGTGCGTGGAAGCGGGGCAGTGCGATGCCAGCGAGCTGGGCTGCATCGACGTTCCAGCTTCTGCCCTCTCTGAAGCTGTCTCCTCCCCCTCCCCCTCCCCCTCGTCTCTCTGGTTCACCTCTCATGGAGCCCTCCAGAGACTGGCCCATCTGCTCACCCTCCACCACTCCTCTGCTGTGAGTCTCTCTCCCTCCCTCCCTCCCTCCCTCTCTCTCTCTCCCTCTCTCTCTCTCTCTCTCTCTGCGTGTGTAGATATTCGTATACATACACTATGTCTTCTATTGTAGTGTGGGTTGTACACGTTTGTTTTTAGTGCACTACGGGTTAACACTTTAGTGCTTTTGCCGGGGGCTTGCCACTCAAAGGGTTAAGCGTATTATAATAATAATTATGTTTGCGTGAAATCTAAACTCTAAAGCACACAAGAGTTGAACTAACCTTCACCATGTATGTATGTATGTATGTAGCAAGAAATGAAACTCAGTGGTGTATGATTTGTAGTAGTCCAAATGTTGGTTTCGGAACCTTGTCTGTGTTTTTACTTCAAAATATATATAAACAAGGCAACTCCTTGGGGAAAGTGGATGGATTTAATAAAGTTTCGTAAACTAAAGAATTGCTTCTGTACGTGACTTTCTGCAGTACAGTCGACAGCCGTCAGTTTTATCACACACACACACACACACACACACACACACACACACACACACACACAGAGTCAAAAATAGCCTTTGCATCACCATTATTGTAGTAAAAAACCATGGGCATGCTCAGCCACCCGCGCAATAATTAGATTACCACTACTCCACGCGGTGGTTGAAAAAGATGCCAGCAGGTATGTGTATCCTTGTCACAACAAGGCAATAAGGGTGTAGGTAAACTTCCTGCACATGCATACTACTTTTTTTACTGTCACAACCTAAAATAGGACATACAAAAACGGACAAAACTATACCATGACAAACTAAGAGCTTAGCAAGACAAACTGACAATACTGTGTCTATACCAGACTCCATTACGTGGGAGTGGTCCCGCCCCAGTGGTAGTGAGGCACAGGTCGGGAGATTAAAGGGACCGAAACCTGTGACCTACACGATGATCTGCTGTGGAGCTCCCCTGATGACTGGTGCATTAGATAAACGACAGACAAAGGAGACAGGGTTTGCTAGCTGTTAGGGGTGGGGATAGGGGTAGTGTAGCACGTGTACCAAATAATAATTATGTGGAAGCACACTGTGGTTTGTAACTCCATGCACAGCCTGAGTGTATGTCTGGTGGTCCGGCGCTTTGATGACGCCGACAAGTCCCCCCCAGTCTCTGTCACTACACCTCGTTCCCCACAATTCTCTCCCCCTCCTTTCTCTTCTTAACCCATACCAAACACACACTCTCTCTCTCTCCCTCAGTCAGCTGCAAGTGAAGAAAGCCTCAGATGTTGCCAGGAGCTCTGTGAGGCCTACGACATCCGTTTCCACCACTTTAACCCTCTCCTGCCTCCCTTTGCCACTCTCTCGATTGACGTACCTCTCAAGGATCTGGTGGAGAGTGTCATGCACACGATAGCTCAAGTTGTGGGGAAGCCCCTTCATCAACTAGTAACTGACATCATAAAATGAACGTTGCTTAGAAGTCCAATTGTCACCAAGTTTTTTTTTCATAGTAATGTACATCAGCAATTCCATGTTTCATTTCTAGGTTTGTTTTCTGTTTTTGTTTCTTAGCCCAAAACCAATGCTAACAACATGTTCTCTTTGATATGAATTTTGTGTATATACAATTACAATTTCTCAATGAAATAAACAATACATTCAGCCGTTTTTTCAGCAAACAATCGTTTTGATTCTACGAGGTGTGTGAATGTTTGTTGAGATAATGTCTTGAAGGATATTCTTTGAGAACCCCAAGCCTGAAGATCATCATAAGCATAAAGCTAGCATTAGAGAGTGAATAGAATGTTTTTTTGGTGTGAACAAACAGAAGAAATTATGATATGACACTTGGTGTGTATGTAAGTGATGTGTGTTTAATGTACGGTACAAAAGATTTGGCAGAAATATTGCAACTAATCTTTGTTCGCTTGCTCATACACTTGAGTTAAAGTAACGCTGCTTTCTGAGGTTGGTATGATGAGTAGGAAAATGAAGCGTTATAGGAGGGCGGGGCGGCTTGGTAGCTTAGGAGGCCTCCCCCTGCTTCTGACTGTGTGACGAGGGGTTTCCCCTGTATTCCCTGGTGTAACGGCTGTACCACTACCGGCGTCGTCTCATGAACTGTTGAATAAGGTGGTTGTAAGTTGGTGTAAGGTGTCGTGGAGACAACGGTAGAGGGGGTCGTGGTGCCGGCTCCGTACTGCGGGCAAGTGTCTCTGACAACTTTATAGATGATCACGATGATTGCAACTGTGAAAATGAGGACTACAAAGATACCCACCACTGGAAATGAAATAGCCATCGCCTCTGTGGAGGAAAGTATAAGTCACTTCTTTGCTGCTTCCCTATTTTTTTGCATAATAATTATAAGCTACGTATAATTTATTATGTTTATTGTTTATTGTTATACCCATAAGTCACAAAACACCATTTTCTATAAACTTACCACAGTATGCTGGGTATCGTCATTTCCTTATGTCATAATCTGTGTTTATACAAACTGTGTACACTAACTACCCATGCCCAAATTTCACTATGATCCGACAACAGGGGCGCCACCATCTGCTCTGCAGATCCATGATCTATTAGTCATGGAGCAATCCGCACACAACCGTTTGTGTATAATTACTAGCTATTGTGTTAGTATATACCTGAACTCGACTGTGCGTGTACCACATTCCCGATGGAAAGTAGCAGAGCCACGCCTGCTGCCCCCAGAGAAATCACCATCATCACGCACGGACCTTTCAGTCAGTTGACGATTCACCCGCGCTGCTGCCGCCACGCTAAACTTTGGATATCCGTTCTTTTAATTGGGACTGTAGATATCCCTATCTCTGCAGGCACACAGCACACGCTGGGCTGCGACACGACACACGCGGCTCCGAACAGAGGCGCGCAAGCACAAGGTCTCAACTTGCGCACAAGAGTGCGCATGCGCAATACGTAGCGCGCGCCATACATTACGTAAAGTAAGTATGCATAATCATAAAGCACACAGAGTTGAACTAACCTTCACTACAAAGTCCAGAGTTATTGCTGAGGTTTGTATGTGGCATATATAGCTAATTATAAGATGGCGGGGGACGACCTCCTGGTGGCTCTGAGATAGGTTTTACAACTACCGGTTCCGCCTGAGCTGATGCAGGATAAGGTGTCGTGGGTACGATGGTAGTGGGTGCTGTGAGGATCGCTCTGTGCGGAAACATCTTTGCCCAGAATATCCTGATCGCCACAAAGATTGTGATACCGATAATCACCACCGCAAAGATACCGACGATAGGAAATATAATAGCTATAGCAGCTGCAAGGAAAGAAGGAAACAAAATTAATAGTGCACGTGACTGTGAAAAAACGCCATAATAATATTATAAAAGAGTGCATGAAAGGCCCTGTATAATGTTTCAGTATGTACACTCTATAATTATAGTAATGCCTCCATTAGTCCATTGAAATTCAAGCTGTGAAGTGATTGCCAGGTTATATATTATGTGTGTGTATATAATTATAATTATATTAGTCGTAGAAACTGACAAATCGTCACAGCGCAACTGAATGCAGCTAAGGATTATGATTCGGCCGCATTGCGTGGGCATCTCTATCTTGACTCTTTCAGACAATAGCACCGTATTACAGCTACGTTTATACGTACTTGTGCTGGAATCCGACTGCGCGTCTGTTCCACAGATCAGAAGCAGCAGGGCCGCTCTCACAAGTAGATACATAGTTCGATAGCTACACGTTTCGCCAACGTCGTCAACGTCCACCGATTCCAATCACCGTTGTCCGAAGAGATCCTGAGCCTACGGCCGGTCGGTCGGGCTTGTTGCTCCAGCGGCGCTCTCAGTATTCTACGCACAGGGCAGCGGGTCGCTGGGGGTCAAACGTCCGGCCGAGTTGTGAGTCTGCTGCCTTGTCGCTTGTCGGCCACGCGCACGCAAATAGCTAGCCTAGCCGCACCACACCCATACGCGCGCCGCCGTCGCGAATCGCGCGCGCATCGATTGACAAATCGAACACTGCATGAATTTTGAAAGGTATCACGGCCACACCGCGTCACATGAGTCAATAGCAGGCAGGTAGATAGCCACAGGGTTATATATAGCTATTATGTTTGTAGTAGCTCTAAGATCTTTTGGTTAGGAAGATGATCCATGAATGTGCTGATGACTATTTTACTTTGAGTATAATAGATACAACTGTGATTCGGAATGTTGGAGGGACAAGAGACCCCCCATGAGAGGTGGGTGTTCATTTTGCCTGTGGTGATTGTGTGGGACTGACATGTCGTGTAGCTAATCCTCGACATGATGTAGTGATAACTGATGGTTGTGGAATGGCTTAACGTTATCACCCATTCACAACACTATCTGTTCATCTATTGACTAACTGCTATCACACCTAGGTAGGAAAGAGATTTATCATGTATTCAATCATTTCCCTTTCCTACTTAGCACTGGCATTCAGTCACATCTCTTTCCTCATGTTTGTAAATCCTGTTTCCTACCCGCACCTAGTGTAGACATTGAGTATAAATAGGCACCAGTTTTGTACCATGCAGAGTCTTACCTCGATATTATCGTTCTACTACTCGGCCAAGATCCTTCTGCGGCACGCGCACTCAGCGCGCACTACATTAGCTAACTACATTATTGTAATTCAGTATGAAAGCATGTAGCTATAAGTGCTGGCATGGATAGCAGTGATTGACAACCCCAACTCCATTAGCTACATACACCGCAGCTGAATCAGATGTTTGTATACAAGAGTATAATATACATTAGCTACCGGCCGCATGCAGAGAGGGGAGCTACACGTGATGAAAGGCATATAATTGTCTCAACTGAAAGGGGGGTATATCATATATAGCTACAATGATACACAGACATAATATTTCACAATAATCACTATATACATGGGTAAGCTACCTCACCAAGTAGTTTATTGAGTGCAACTTGTACAAAAACTTTTTATAGTTTGGCAAACTACTCTGTGATGCAGGTGGAATAATTCTAGACCGTTATGGTTCGTTACTGGACGACGTCATCAAAATGTGAAGTCAGCTAAAGTGGCATCTCCTTTCTTCACTTCCCGGGGTTCTTGAAATGGCTGGTAATCACTGCCACTTGGCTGTTTTAAACCCAAAAAATTATTTTATTGCAACAGCAAGCTTTTAGCTAATATGTAGCTAGCAATCAGGTAGTACAATGGAGTCTCGTTATGAAGAAAGAATTTGTTCACAGAAAACGGGTCATAAGTGTGGCGAAAATTCACACTAGAAAAAAAATTTCTATAGAACTAGGCTCCGAGGGTGTGTTTTTATCCAGAATTTCAGTAATAAGTGTGTTATGAGACAATCCACTGTACATGTAGCTATATCCCTCAAATGTTATCAAGAGCTATAGCTACCAATAATCCAGGATTAGCAAGCACTCACAAACCTGCTGAGGGTAGGCACTGCCTGTGGGTGTCTCTCCTGCAGGAGCAGACAAAATGACTGGTGACGTCTGCTGCACTGTGGCAAAGTTTGCACCACTTGCAGTGGCATGGGTGGTGGGGAATATTGAAGTGGGCACCCCTGCAGCCCGTTGAGCACGTCTTTGCCTCCATATAAAACAGCAGGTGATGGTGAGCATTAACGTCACCATACTTACGAACACAAACACCATTAGAGGAGGTACAATGAACACGATCCCTGTTGTGATAGAGTGCACGTACCTATCGTTCACGCTGTATGATAAATTGTACTAAGAAAAAACAAGAATTGCAGGCTATATTATTATGTGTAGCTATTTGTATCCACATGGAAGTGATTCAGCTGTAGCCAATGTTCAACGCTGGGATCCCATTGTTAGTAGCCGGCCTAGTATTACAAATGATGCTGTACCGCGCAAGATGGAGCAGTCATTACTGCTCGGCTCTCAGTTGCGGTAATTGACAACCAGGGGTGCCATGCGAGAAGGATACTCAAGTCTATGAGGCCGCAACCACGCCGCCGAAATAACTTCAGGCTAGCTGTACCAGAAATGTATATACTATAGCTGTACTTGGTTGTGCCGACGCCTGGTGGACATGGCAAAGAATCAAGATGGCAACTGCCGAGGAAGTGGAATACATTTCTTCAGTCGGTATCTCCCCGAGACAGTTGACACCAGATATCGTCTCTTCACTGAAACTCCACCCAGAAAAAACCGCGGCGGCGCGATATAGCGCGTGCATGCTCACACCCCCGCTGATGGGAGCCCCGATAACACGACCGGAGCCATTTTAGGTGATCAAAGCAGCGTAACGGAGCGGCGGGGTAAACCACGAAGACAATACCAGGCAATAGAGAGACCTCAAGCTAGCTAGCCAGACCGTCACACAAAGAGAGCGGGTCTAGGGACACTTGCATAGTAGCTAGCTAAAGTTGTGCAGAGTTTGCCGGAGAGTCTGGCCAGCGAGACTAACCTCAAGTAAACATGCACCTACTCTCTGTATAGCTACCCCGTAGTTAGGATTATTGCCTACTAGCTGTCTCGAATTGAACAAATGGTGTTCAAACAAACGTTTGTTCACACACAAATCACCAAACACTGGACGGAAAGGTAAGCAATGACTCAGTGATGGTTTTCCTGTTGATGTCCCCCAGGAGACCATTTTGAACACTCCCTATGGCAGAGAAGTAATATATTTTTTGGTAGCTTTTGAGGTATTCGGTATTGGTATATAAGTAAGTATATATAAAATTGCCCAATTCAAGGCTCTCAAACACACTCTTTGTATATAGGTAGCGGAGTGGGCGCGCTGAGCTCCACTACTGGTCGTATATATAAGGCATGAGCCCAGTGTGCGCATGCGTGTTTGGCACTGGGATCATAGTAAATTTCTGTGAGAGCTATAATTAATAATACATCACATAATTGTGTAGCTATCCTTGTCTATTAGCTAGCTATATACCATGTGTACAAATGCTCAACAGTTGTATGATGGGTGACCCATAGCAACTTTATAGGAAGGAGGCGGAGCTTGAGGTCCATGAATTACGTCACACTCAGGGGCCGCAGATGTTGGCATATTCGGATGCTGTGGTGCGTTGTTTACTGTTGGTGGTAGTACTACAGGTGCTGCTGCGTAAGGATGTGATCCAGTAGAAGCTGTTGTTGGAAAAACTGTGGTCGGGGTGGCCAAGTTGTTTCTCAGACGGAACAGTGGTCTCAGGGAGTAACATATCACCACAAATACCACCGTCAATATAATGGCGATTATAATTATTGCGAACAAAGTTGGCACAACAACCACAATTACTGTAAGAAGAAAACATTATTGTAACAAGATAATAGATGGAAAACATGTAGAAAGTTTGGCAGTGAAAAAACTACATAGTCCGCATTGTATCTGACCACACTGTTTTGAACACGGTGGTTTACAGCACCGACATTACCCAATGCATCACTTTGTTCTCAGAATGCAAACTCTAGCTAGCTATAGCTAGCCATGTGCGGAACAATCAGAGGCCCTTCCTAGCGACAGTCTACGTATAACCGGCCGCCTCTTCTATAGATAAACGTGCGGTGATGCCGGCCCTGTAGCTAAAGCTGCCTGACCATTGATGTGCCTCAAAAACTGTAGCTAATTTACTTGTTCCAGTTTCCGATGACTGAGCCAGTACAACATTGGTACAGGAGAGGAGCTCGAGCAATACCAGTGGTCGTAAGCTACCCATCCCTCTAGCTCTCTACTTCCCTTCCGTTCGTCTTGCTCTCTGCAATGATCAGCGCGCATGCAGTTTGCGGCACGTGAGCACAAGCGCGCGATGGCGTACACACCTACATATACACGAAGCGCGCTAGCTACACACACAGCTAGCTGGGCTAGCTATATATAGGGCGGTGCGATTAGCGAATGCGCAAATCAACATTCCGCTGTTCTAATTGAATGTAAAGATGAATGCTACACTTGTTGTGGTAGGTGATGTACTGATGGTGCAGTCTGAGTTGCTGTGATAGTAGTGACACTGCTCCTTCCAGCACAGACTTCAGCAGTCACTGACACAGCTGTCCCAGTGGCAATCTGACCAAGTAAACCTCTCCTAGCCCTTTGCCTCCTCCACATGCCACATGTAATACAAGTTACCTGTTGCTACGTACAGGTGTGTCATAGATGATTGTGCACAGAGATCACGTGGTTAAGCTAATCAGGATTCAGGAAGAACCAACAAGTGGTCCATACCATTGCATGTGCGCAAGAGAACAGTAATTGGGATAGCTATTATAGTAAGTAAAATGTATGTATTATAGATCTGTTTTAGATGTATATATGACATTACCCAGCTGATAATTATTAAGTAAACCTCATTTTCTGTGTGGTATGATGACATTGTGTATGTTAAGGCTCAATTATATAGACAAGGAAGGGTCTTGGGGTCCACACATCAGTGCAGAAGTCCAATACAGCAGGTGTACACTATAAATGCAATGCACTAACTGAAAAATAAACGGTGACTGCTGTACACTACTGAAAGGTAAATATGACTGCTGCACACGTATATAGTTCACATGTTTGTTTCGTAACTTTTTCATAATTATATTATATATACCTTTGCACGTCTAGTGACCGATTTTCAGTGTGGATGATTGCTCTCCTGAGCTTCTGGGGATATAATAAACAAAAGGTTGAGAGAGCTAAAGCAAAGCAGCCCTTTTTGTGTGTGTTATCTGTGTCAGTGTGGCGTTACGTCAAGGAGAGTCTCAGAGGCGGCAGCAATAATTATAAATTACCACTAAATTCTTAAGGAAACAGTAAAGGTGTTTGGAGGAAAGGTGGGCAGGTGAGAAATAGTTTGTGGTTGTGACACAGAGAAAATGCAACTTCTGCATATGGTTGCCCTTTCAGGGAAGTAAAGAGGACTAATTGATAAAGGTGGCATATGGAGTGAGGAATTGCTAACTAATATTCATGGGCAGAGTAAGAAATATTTTATGCTAACTTATAACTAAACACACACTGAACATCTATGGGCTAGATAATTAATAATGACATCTACACAGCAGGGGTCACTCTCGGTCAATGAATGAAAAAAGTCATATCAGTAACCAACGATGTACCTATATTGGAACACTTCCTCCATCCAACTTTATAATGCAGTTTTCTGAGGTTGGTTTGATGAATAGGTAGTCGCAGCATTGTACGAAGGTGGAGCTGCTTGAAAGTGTAGGTCAGGATCAGGTGCATGATTAGCTGGCGACGACTCTATAACGCAGGGTTCTCCCCCTTCCGGAAGTGATGGATGAAAAACTACTGGTATACTCTGAGGTGGTGCTGTTGGATAATGTTGCGGTGGAGCATAAGCTGCTGTAGTGGAAACGATAGTTGGTGCCATAAAGGCTCCTCTGTGTTGGAACGTAGCTCTCCAGATTTTGTAGATGGCCAGAAGAATTGTAAGTATGGCAATGACCACAATGACAGTCCCAACGAGAGAGAATACAATCGCCACAGCTACTGCAGGGAAAAATTAACAAGCAGGAAAACAGCACAATATTATAATTATAGTTACTTGTGAGGAGGGATAATTATACGCTTGTGGTCCATCAATTGACTTTTTAAACAGCTGCATGAATAAAATAATAGCTACAATCATTCTAAATTCTTCAGAATGATCATAAGGGATTCCTACATATTATTTTAAGTATAGCTAACTAACAGATAAACAATTATCCCTGCGAAAATATAAACTTCGGATGGTTACCATACCCAGCTTTGCGTACTAGCTTACTTGTAACAGAGTTCTCCTGTTCCTGTGCGTGTGCCAATTTCCAACGGAGAAGTAGCAGAGCCACTGTCATCAGAAACTTAGATCCTCCCTCCATTACTATTCAGTTACTCGCTACTGTTACTGGATGATCGGGTATTAATAATTGGTGAGCGAAGCGAGTCTACCTATTATCAAAGTAAAATTCGACTCCTCTCGCGCTGTTTCGTGCGCATGCTCCCGGCCGGCTGTGCGCGAAAGCGGGATCGTATACTCGCGCAGAAGATGAACTGACGCCGAGCACAATTGCGTACTGATCTGGGGAAAGGGTCCTTATAAAAACCTTTAAGACGCGCGACCCTGATACCCAAGAAGCAAAAGCCACTCCCCAGTGCTGCTTGGTACACTCAGGAACTCACGTTATAAAATAAGCCACAAACAATGCTGTTCATAAGTGAATAACTTCAGACGCTCTTGCATTAAATTACTAATAAGTCACTCCCCTTGGTGCATAATTATGTGCAGATTATATAATTATAGCAATCAGTATATAGCTACATTGCAGGCAGATGAGAATTGCACTGGAGTAGTGGGCAGCCGTCTATAGCTACTGTCGCCAGAGATGTTTTGTCGTCTGCAGGATACCACCTGGTTGGCCGGATTGCTCGCTCTATTCCTCTCGCTCGACCACTCATCAGGTGAACAAAACACGCTGGTGTGACAGGCCTTGAGGTCTCTCACACTTCGTGAACAATATTATAGTAGCTACAAACTCTAGCCTTCTGTACCACGAGGAAAATGTGCAGTGTTAGTTGCACCGTAGTAAATTAGCCATCCCTTCAAGGGGCAAAACTTTTAACAATCGTGCTGTTAGTGGCAGAATACTTGAAACTGCAGCTTTGCCCTACTACTCCTTCCCTTCTCTGGAATTCCTGGAGTTGGCTCCTCCTCTGCCAACCTCACTGGATCCCTTCCCGAGGAAATGTTAAAAACTCTGACCCCATCTCCCTACCAAATGGCTTCCCTTTCTCCGATGAAACTGAGTCAATAATATTTGTAAGTGTTAGCTATATAGCTACTAACCTGGAAAAACTATAGCTAACTCTGTTTGTTGTGCCCTTTGCCTTTCTACCTTGTAGTTTTCACATGTATGGCAATTTGCAAAATGAGGTGGGATAGGAATGGGTGGAGCACAAGGATTGAAACAAACACCCACAAAACTACATGACACCATCACTGTCTTTCTTTGCCATAGAGAAGGTCTATATAGCAAGATAATTATTAGAATTCGCTAGGTCTGCGGATCCACAGATTTTCTTTAGAAGCACTGCTAGATAAGGCTAATCCTTTTTTCTAAAGGTGAATGTCAATGGGTTCCTGTCATTCAGAACAGCGAGAGACTATGCAAGTCCGTTGGGACACATCTTCACCTCTGCCTATACTAACATCCTGGCTCCTTACTGGATGGAGTATAACATCACTGAACGAGGTTATTTTCACACTTTCGTTTTTCTGAGGTTTGGCTTGTATTGGATGCTTTTGTGCCAGTATAATTATTGCTGTTGCCACATCTGTCCAACCTAGCGTAGTTCTCTGTTTTTATTCTTGATTTGCACATGTTATGGCTACATTACAATCGAGTGATGCCGGATTTATTCTTCCTTCAGAGCATACTGTTATAGCGTGTCTTTATTAGCTCCTTCTAATAGTGTGCTTCAAACTAATGACCAGGAGCTTCCCCTCAGGTGAAGTGGCTTATGAAGTACACACGACAGGTAATCTGTTGGAGAAAGTCAACACGGCCATCAGTCAACAGCTGGATGAGACCTTCCAGGGGGTGTGGCTACTAGTTGTGTACTGGAACAATGTCGTTAACAATGTTCGGTACCAAACCGAGGTTAGTTATATATTATCTTAGGTGAGTCTCTGCGGACTAACCACTGTGAACCCCTCTAATAATGGACACTAATCTTTAGACATAAAAGTTGTATGAACTTCTATTGGGGGAAAGATGTCCTTTTTAGGGAAGTGTCCTTATTTGGAGGAGTGTTAGACAGTTCAGTAGCTGATTGCGCTAAGCAACTGATACACATGTATTATCCACGTATCATTATTATACGATGCATTGATATTTTGCAGCACAACAGCTTCCAGGCAGTGTTGGTTACAGACGGCCACAATTCCTACTGTCTATTCATCTATCGCTGTGGACTTCTTACGACACGGCAAGCTGCCATTGGCTACACAGCCACTGGTAATTTCTTCCTCAGCCATCAAAAGTCTCAGTTCACCCTGTCAAATGAGGTTGCCTGTAGCAACAGTCCCGGCAGCAAATGGAATACTTTGCTGTATCCAATACACTACTATGGTAAGAGAGAGAGAGAGAGATATCATGTATCAGCACGAATCATCAACAGCGACTAAAATTATACTATTCCAGGAGTGAGGCCATATATCTTGACAATTCCGGAAGGTCCGATCTTCAAAGCTGGAAGCCTAATTGTTTACCTATGCAAAGCACTAACCCCTGGCAGCTACAGCTTGCGCTGGACAGAGTACTGCCAGAATGGCGACTCTGAGCAGGTGGTACACTACTATAATAGCAATATATACATCGTCAATTCGACTCCTAATCGCTGTTCAACCGTGGTGGGGTGCACAGTTTGGGATAGTGCTGGTACCACTGCAGAGGACAGATATTTCAGACAAATAACTGGTCAGTTATAACCTTTTTCCTCATAATATTATTATCTGTAATCTTCCATACAATTCTTATAGGAACTGAACTAGTCGACTTCAACGAGATTGCATTGTACAATAACTCTGGCATAGAGGTGAACTCGGCCCACCAACTTGGTACCGTGTACTGTCACTCAGGCTCCAACCAGTCCAACATTGGCAGGTGGATCAGTCCCAGTGGAGAGGAGATTCCATCAGATGGGAATGACATGTTCCAGATCGATTTTTACAGCTCAACCTTCCGTAGTTACACCTCTCTCACACTTAATGAAGGTATGGTAGCTATGGTATCTCTTTGCATTTTACTTGGACAGGTTTTGCTAAGAAATATAAGGCACACATACACACAAAGAAAAATTTGTAAAGGGAGTGCCGTATCTGTTAAAAACAAGGTGATTAGGTATACAGCGAATACACTTGAAAGCCACAATTTGCCAAGGAATCTACACCAACAGACACGTAAGCAGGCTTTATTATTAACTCATAATTATTGCACACTGAATACCCTTGTGAGTATTGATGTTCAAGATACACTAAGAAGCACATATTTACCGTGTTGTGAGGACCTTAATGACTATTATGCCTACATTTATGCATCACCAGGTGTTCAGTTCAGTAGTGAGGCTGAGGGAATGTACAGTTGCATCATCCCAGATGAGAATGGAGAGGAGCAGATCCAACATTTTGGTCTCTACGACTACGGGTACACCTCTGGTGAGAGAGAGACCTTCTTACTACTTACTTCCTACAAGCTTATATACAATCTAAGAGTTTTCTGAAACTATGTGTATGCCAAAAATGTATATAGCGTGCGCATGTACAGTCAAAGCAGGGTAAGGGTGGCATCTCCCCAACAAGCATGGATCCTGGAAACAGTGCTGTTGTTCTAATTTCACACACGTATCCACTTTTGTTCCCATACAGTCCTTCCACTTCAGCCCATCTCTGTGAGATACGTTTCAGAAGATCCCTTTACCCTCTCCTGTTACTCCACCCACCTACCTCCCTACCAGCTCACTTTTTCGGAGCAGATACTAAACCCATACGCTGAAAGACCCACATACCCAAACTCTTCCCACCTTATTGATAGAAGAAACTCAACTTACGACAATGTCCTGGCTGCAAATCCTCAACCCAGCATCCCTAATTACATATGCCGTGTGTCGGTTAAAGTCCAGCCTTTTTATCGTGATGGAGAGACACTTATGGGTCAAGTATCCCACCAATGTGAGCTTCTCAAACTTAGATCCTAATTTTAATGTATACTCTAGTTGTCTAACATTTCAAATGAAGCTGTAAAACAGTGGAACTCCTCTTTAGTATTATACGATGCACGATCAGGTGTGGTAAAATAATATATAGTAGGGTAACTAATACAAGGCAAATTATAATATCCTAAATATTCTTTTTGTGTTACACAACCCATAGCTACGTGTACACTTGGGGCAACTAATGATTTGATATCGTAACGGTGTGCTTGTGAAAGATACACGTACTTGAACTCCGTCTTATAACCTTTTCTTACGACGTCTCCCCGGCAGATTATCATTATGCAGTGGTCCAACCAATTGGAGGCCAGTGGGACATAGAATGTTCCGAGCCTACCTACTCTATTCTCACATGGGAGACGGCAAATGGACTGAAGCTAAATGAGTCACTCTCACACAAAATCCACTACTCAGCTCCGGTGGACATGGCTCAGGAGTTGACCTGTTACGGACTGATCGGAACTGAGATTAAGATGCCTCTGAAATTTGTCTCTCTTATTATACGAGGTATTTACATGTGTTCTACATGCTGGTGATATTTTACATGTAGCTAGTCGTGTTGTTTGCTTTGCCTTTGCCAGCTAAGTTTAATAGCTAAGCATAAACACTGGCACGGTAGCCAATAGGGGTTATGCGTGTGAAGTTGTTATTTTGAACCACTAAATTACCATACAAGACACATTCCTCATCTTATACAAGACTCAGTTAAGCAACACAACACTGCTGTATTGGTTAATTCCAGGTACAATTGTCGGGTTTTCATCCACGACATTCGTTGGTACTGAGAAGAGTGGAAGTGTGTCCATATGCGTTGAGGTTTTGAATCCTCCTGGTGGTGCTGCAGAAACATTTACTGTGACGCTAATACAAGCTGAAGGTTAGGTGATGTGTAATTACCCTCGGCGCGCATGCGCAGCGAGGGTTACGGTAGTTGTCCCGTAAGTGTGTCTGTCAGTCCGTCAGTCCGTCTGTCTGTTACCACGTTTTCTGCCACCGCGCGCACGAAATCAGGTAAATAGCGATATGATCGGGTTCAGTGCTACACTGGGTTGATTTTAAAAAAGACGATTTTCGTAAAACTACTGCGTTCTAAAGTTATGGCGTGAAAACCAAGTGAACAAGCCAATATGTAAAATTAGCACAGGCTTACCTCGACCGCGTCCGTTCGCTCTGTGTGTTTTGAAGGCACAACAAGTCACAACGAAGGGCATGTATCGACTCCCGCATACTATTTACTACTGTAGCTAGCCTGTGCCAGACTCTCCGCGAGCTACTAGTGGGATACCACGAGTAAAGGCATAAAAAGCCCAGCCCATCAATTAGCGTACCGCACATGCGCAGTTTCGCCGAGGGTTTGCACTGCAGTTCTTTGCATTATTACA